AGTATTAAGCCAACTTTCTCGCTATCTTCTTTCACTTTCATCAAGAGGCTCTTTAGTTCCTCTTCACTTTCTGCCATAAGGGTGGTGTCATCTGCATATCTGAGGATATTGATATTTCTCCCGGCAATCTTGATTCCAGCTTGTGCTTCATCCAGCCTGGCATTTTGCATGATGTACTCTGCATATACGTTAAATAAGCAGGATGACAAAATACAGCCTTGACATACTCTTTTTCCTATTTGGAACAAGTCTGTTGTTCCATGTCCAGTTCTAACTGTTCCCTCCTGACTTGCATACAGGTTTCTCAAGAGGCAGGTCAGGTGGTCTGGTGTGCCCATCTCTTTCAGAATTTTCCACAGTTTGTTGTGATCCATACAGTCAAAGTCTTTGGCATAGTCAATAAAGCAAAAATAGATGTTTTTCTGGAGCTCTCTTGCTTTTTTGATGATCCAATGGATGTTGGCTATTTGATCTTGGTTCCTCTGTCTTTTCTTAATCCAGCTTGAATATCTGGAAGTTCACGGTTCACATACTGTTGAAGTCTGGCTTGGAAAATTTTGAGCATTACTTTGCTAGCATGTGAGATGAGTGCAACTGTGCAGAAGTTTGAACATTCTTTGGCATTGCCTTTCTTTGGGACTGGAATGAAAACTGACCTTTTCCAGTCCTGTGGCCACTGCTGAGTTTTCCAAATTTGCTGGCATAGAGTGCAGCACTTTCACAGCATCACCCTTTAGGATTTGAAATAGCTCAACTGAAATCCTATCACCTCCACTAGCTTTGTTCATAGTGATGCTTCCTAAGGCCCACTTGACTTCACATTCCAGGACATCTGGCTCCAGGTGAGTAATCATTCCATCGTGGTTATCTGGGTCATGAAGATCTTTTCTGTGTACTTCTGTATATTCTTGCCACCTCTTCTTAATATCTTCTGCTTCTGTTAGATTCATAGCATTTCTGTCCTTTATTGAGCCCATCTTTGCATGAAATGTTCCCTTGGTATCTCTAATTTTCTTGAGGAGATCTCTAGTCTTTCCTATTCTATTGTTTTCCTATTTCTTTCCATTGATCACTGAGGAAGACTTTCTTATCTCTTTTTGCTATTCTTTGGAACTCTGCATTCAAATGCGTATATGTTTACTTTTCTCCTTTGCTGTTAACTTCTCTTCTTTTCTCAGCTATTTGTAAGGCCTACTCAGGCAACCATTTTGCCTTTTTGCAGTTCTTTTTCTTGGGGATGGTCAATATAAAAATCAGATTGATTGTATTATTTGCAACCAAAGATGGAGAAGCTGTACACAGTCAGCAAAAAAAAGACCAGGAGCTGACTGTAGCTCAGATCATGAACTCCTTATTGCCATATTCAGACTTAAATTGAAGAACTAGGGAAAACCACTAAACCATTCAGGTGTGACCTAAATCAAATCCCTTATGACTGTACAGCGGAAGTGACAAATAGATTCAAGGGATTAGATCTGTCAGACAGAGTACCGGAAGAACTATGGACGGAGATTCGTGATACTGTACAGGAGGCAGGGATCAAGACCATCCCCAAGTGGGCCTTGGGAGACATTACTACAAACAAAGCTAGTGGAGGTGATGGAATTCCAGCTGAGCTATAGCAAATCCTAAAAGATGATGCTGTTAAAGTGCTGCACTCAATATGTCAACAAATTTGGAAAACTCAGCCATGGCCACATGACTGGAAAAGGCCAGTTTTCATTCCAATGCCAAAGAAGGGCAATACCAAAGAATGTTCAAACTATCATACAATTGCACTCATTTCACATGCTATCAAGGTAATGCTCAAAATCCCTCAAGCTAGGTGTCAGCAGTATGTAAACAGAGAACTTTCAGATGTACACACTGAATTCAGAAAAAGCAAAAGAACCAGAGGTCAAATTGCCAACATTTGTTGGATCATAGAGAAAGCAAGGGAATTCCAGAAAAACATCTACTTCTGCTTCATTGAGTATGCTAAAGCCTTTGACTGTGTAGATCACAACAAACTGTGGAAAATTCTTCAGGAGATAGGAATACCAGACCACCTTACCTGTCTCCTGAGAAATCTATATACAGCTCAAGAAGCAACAGTTAGAACTGGACACGAAACAATGGACTGGTTCAAAATTGGGAAAGGAGTACGCAAAGGCTGTATATTGTCACTTGGCTTATTTAATGTATATGTGGAGTATATCATGTGAAATGCCACACTGGATGGATCACAACCTAGAATCAAGATTGATTCATACAGGGCAGCAAAGGAGACACAGATGTAAAGAACAGACTTCTAGATTGAGTGGGAAAAGGAGAGGATGGGATGATTTGAGAGGATAGCACTGAAACATGTACATTACCATATACAGAATGGATGACCAGTGCAAGTTCCATGCATGAAGCAGGGCAACCAAGGCTGGTGCTCTGTGACAACCTGAAGGGAGGGGGTGGGGAGGAAGGTGATGAGGAGGGGGGTGGGGAGGAAGATGGTGGCAGGGGGTTCAGGATGGGGGGACACATGTATGTCTATGGCCAATTCATGTTGATGTATGGCAAAAGTCACCACAATATTGTAAAGTAATTATAATCCAATTAAAATAAATAAGTAAATAAAAAAGATTGCTGAAGAAATAACAACCTCAGATATGCAGATGATACTACTCTAATGGCAGAAAGCAAAGAGGAGCCTCTTGATGAGGGTGAAAGGGGAAAGTGAAAAAGCTGACTTGAAACTCAGCTTTTCAAAAAACTAAGATCATGGTATCCAGTTCCATCACTTCATGGTATACAGAAGGTGAAAAAGTGGAAACAGTGACAAATTTTATTTTCCTGGGGTCCAAAATCACTGTGGACAGAGATTCTAGCTATGAAATTAAAAGATGCTTGCTCCGGGAAGAAAAGCTATGGCAAATCTAGACAGTGTATTAAAAAGCAGAGACATCATTTTGTCAACAAAGGTCTGTATAGTCAAAGCTACGGTTTTTCCAACAGTCATGTAGGGATGTGAGAGTTGGACCATAAAGAAGGCTGAGCACCAAAGAACTGATGCTTTTGAATTGTGGTGCTGAAGAAGACTCTTGAGAGTCCCCTGGACTGCGAGAAGATCAAGCCAGTCAATTCTAAAGGAAATCAACCATGAATATTCATTAGAAGGACTAATGCTGAAGCTGAAGCTGAAGCTCCAATACTTGGGCCACCTGATGCAAAGAGCTGACTCACTGGAAAAAACCCTAATGCTGGGAAAGATTGAGAGCAGGAGACGTGGGTGACAGAGGATGAGATGGCTGGATAGCAAGCATCACACTGACTCAATGAACATGAATTTGAGCAAACTCTGGGAGATAGCGAAGGACAGGGAAGCCTGGCCAGCTGCAGTTCACGGGGTCACAAGAGTCAGAAATGACTTAGCGACTAAATAGCAACAACATACATATGTCAAAACTTATCACATTGTACACTTTTAATATGTGCAGTTTACTATACATGAATTAATACCACCATAAAACTGTTTTTTAACAAAAGGTTAGCAGAAAATCAGTGAAAACATTTCCTATATCATAAGAACTAAATGGCAAATGCCAAAGTGGAGGGAGTTAAATTAAGAGTTGCTAGGAAGGATACTGCAAGGGTTAGAAGGCTAAATTAAACCAACCAACTGACCACAAGATGCTATGATAACTGTAATTACCCCCAAAGGTAGAATTCACTAAACTCCTGAAGTTGTTTAAAAACATACAAGTGCCTCACTGACTTCTGGCTTCACGTTCACATACAGCTCTTTGTCCTAGAGGTTTATTAACTTTTTACCTTAACCTTCACACACCTACCTTCAAACATCAATTTCTGCAACATTCGTGTTTTCATTTTCATATATATATATATATGTATCTGGTCTCATGGTATTCTTATAAGTTGACCCTTTTCTCAATCCTTTAGTATTCTATATTCAAGTTGCCCACTTGATCAATTTTGTGCTGCCTATTTTTACTAGGTTGAGCCTGAACTAAAAGAAATAATAGCATAAGTACAGTAACAAATAGGTGGTTTTATTCAAAAGTAAATTCATGGCAGAGATAGTTCCCATCCCCTATATTGGCTGCAGCTAGAAAGAGAATCCAGTGATTGTTGTTTCAGCATTTTAAACCAATGACTGGAATTCTAGGCCCATGTAAACTATGTCTCTTGACTAAGTGAGTGATGGAGTCAAAATTCAAACCCAAAACCTGCTTGGCTCCAGAATGCATATTTCAAACTCCAGTGTGCACTCTGCACACTGACTCTTGTTATGTTTAAATGAAAGTGCTAGTAAGTGAAAAAATAAAATTAGGTATAGAATATCTGAAGGACAAACAGGAAAGTGGTTAACTTCTGGTGGGAAGGAAATTAGAAGGCTGACAGACAAACAACCTGACCTAAGCAAGTTTTATGACTCAATACTGTGAATGTAAATGAAAATGAGATAAAGGAGATTGATCTAACAAAGAAAAATCTCCAAGATACACTTATCAAGTGAAAATTTTTCAGTTAGGTTAACAACAATATACATAAAATGTTCCCTTTTGTGTTAAAAAAAATACAGTTAATGTTATCTCTTGGAGAGTGGAACTGGTATCTGGGATGATTAGAAAACTTCATTACTGTACACTGTCTTAATTTCTCTTTCATAATAAAAGAAAGTGTTAAAGAATAAATGCCCAATTCTGTCACTCTATGGCCCAAGGCAAGTCGGTTTCATCTCCCAGAGTCTCAGTTTCCTCCCCTTACAAGGGTCACTGTGAGGAGAAATAACATATACAAAGTGCCTGCTCTGTGGCACAGGCTCCCTATTTCACTGATATGTCAGCGGACTTCATTAAAACAGCAACGGATTTCAGGGGAACAAGGGGTGGGAGAAGAATACTAACTCACAGCTTGTCTCACAGTGATACACTATTATTAATATCTTCCTGTGAACAGAAGCAAGTTGCCCCAGCCCTGAGTCCCAGCCTGTTAAAAACACTGACCTAGGATGCAGAGGATCCCGTCGGGTTGAGACTTGCTGCTCTGGGTCAAGATGCTCTGAACCTGGCGGAGTCGACTGCAGCTGCAATAAGAACAGAAATCAGCTTCCTGAGTGCCAGCACATGAAGGCATGAGGAAGAAAACGACAGCAAGTGATGGAAACTGGTCCCTGTCTAACTTTGATGTCAGAATCATAAAAAGAAATTACATATTCTTTTTTCTAATATTTTTTGGAAGAGATTATGCAGAATTGGTCTGAAGACTAAGTCTGAACTGCTGATTATAAATTGTATGGTCAGTGGCTCTCTCATTCAACAAAGGATGGAACCAAAGGCCTTCTCATAGACAGGACTAGAACCCAGCAGCTGACCAGAAGAACCTCCATTGTCTTAATTTTGAAGATTATCAAAGAAGAGTTTCTACACTAATTTGTCCTAACTGTGTTCCTAACTTATTGATCTGTTAAAAACAAAACCCAAGCAGATAAAAATCAAATTAAGGACCAATGTCATCACAACTATCCCCATAAGTGTGTCAGTACATGGTACTTCTTGCTGTATCATCCTGCCAGCTACACCAATTGTCTTGCTGTTCACACTGTTCACTGAACCCAGGGTAGGCAAGGGGTGCATGTGCAAGCTTGAAGGAGACTCAAGGAGCTGTAGGAACTGCAATTCCTGCAGCTGTAGGAACTGTAGCAGCCGTGGGGCAGCCACGCTGCATTCTCTCTTGGTTGACCCAGTGGATGCAGCCGTAACACAGCCTCAACGGCTTTTCAAGTGGAAATTATACAGGTTTACAAAACAAAAGTGACCCGTGACCAAGTGGGTACATTGTGATGTGCGTGCACAGTGCTATAAGTCATCTCAGCTGTTATATAAACCATATATTTACAAAAGGTGGGGGTGAGACAGCCTGACCACCGCCATCTTGGCTAATTCGCTCTTTCTCTACAAAACTGCTCCAATTCTGGGCAGGTCTCTGATTCCACTGATGTTACAGACACGCCCTTCCTTCCAAACAAAGCATAAGAAGAGACATGACTTCCAGACATTGACATCACTTCTAAGGACCCTATGCTTTCCATATCAATCCCTTCTCCCTCCCAGATTCCGAGAGTGGTTCACTTTCCTGCTTGAGACTAATCCTTCCATAGGGTCTGTCCACATCACCTTCTGGTCCAAGATCTGTCTCCACTATTCATCCCTTAAGGCTCTTATATTAATTTTACCCACTACAGTCAACATATTCCCAATCTTTGTTGGGTTTGTTCGGTCACCCAATCGTGTCTGACTCTTTGCAACCCTTGGATGCAGCACACCAGGCCTCCCTGTCCCTCACCATCTCCTGAAGTTTGCCCAAGTTCATGTTCATTGCATCAGTGATGCCATCCAGTCATCTCATCCTCTGACGCCCTCTTCTCCTTCTGCCCTCAATCTTTTCCAGCATCAGGGACTTTTCCAATGAGTCAGCTGTTCACATCAGGTGACTAAAATACTGGAGCTTCAGCATCAGTCCTTCCAGTGAGTATTCAGGGTTGATTTCCCTTAAGATTGACTGGTTTGATCTCCTTGCTGTCCAAGGGACTCTGAGGAGTGTCCTCCAGCACCACAGTTTGAAGGCATCAATTCCTTGGTGCTCTCCCTTCTTTACGATCCAGCTCTCACAACTGTACATGACCACTGGGAAGACCATAACCTTGACTATACAGACCTTTGTCAGCAGAGTAATGTCTCTGCTTTTCAACACACTGTCTAGGTTTGTCATAGCTTTCCTGCCAAGAAGCAATCATCTTCTGATTTCATGGCTGTAGTCACCATCCACAATGATTTTAGAGCCCAAGAAGAAATCTGTCACTACTATCATCTTTTCCCCTTCTATTTGCCATGAAGTAATGGGGCCAGATATCATAATCTTAGTTTTTTTAACGTTTAGTTTTAAGCTGGCTCCTTCACTCTCCTCCTTCACCCCATCAAGAGGCTCTTTAGTTCTTTGCTACCTAGAAGCCCTACCACATCATCATTATCTAAGATTCTCCATAAACCTACTATAACAACTGTTCCATCCATAACAGTCAGAATTCATCCTCACTGCTCTGTTCTGGTACACTTGTCCTATACTCACCCAAGCAACAGTATTTCCAGCTAAATAACACCATTTCCCTGTCTTGAATTCCCTTTTCCCCTGTTTTTTCTGATGTTCCCACACACCAAGTTCATGACTTAGTGATCCTTATCACCATCTTCCCTCAAGATGTTCACCATCTTCTACCTAATACCAAAAGCAGACAAAGACAGCACCAAAAATATAGAAACATACACATAAATATCTATAATAAATACAGATATAGAAATCCTCAATAAAATATTAGTAAATATAATTCAACAACATATAAAAAGAATTACACACTATGGCCAAGAGGGATGAAAGGCTGGAAATCAATCAATATAATCCCTAATCTAACAGGTTAAGGAAGAAAAAAAAATCATATAACCACATAATTGATGCAGAAAAATCTAAAAATATTCAACACCAATTCATAATAAAAAAAAACTCAGAAAACTACAAATAGATGAGTTTCCTCAACTTGATAAAGAAAATCAATTTTGGTTTTGATACCAAAAAAAAAAAAAACCCCTCCAAAGCAAATTCTGGGATATGCTTAATGATTAAAAAAAAAACAAAAACAAGGAACAAGAAAAAGATGTATGCTCTCATTAACCTATTCAACATAATCCTGGAAGTTCAAGCCAATGCAACAAGGCAAAAAAAGGAAATAAAAGGTATACAGATAGAAAAGGAAGGTATCAAATTATTTGCAGAGATGACACAATGGCCTATATATAGGGAATCTCACAGAATCTACAAAAAAAATCTTAGAATAAGTGAGTTCAACAAAGTCATAATATCAACATATAAAAACCAACTGTATACATGAACACAGGAACCAAAATTAAAAATACAGTATCATTTAAATATAAACCAAACAAAACATGAATAGGATTTACATGCTAAAAAATACAAAACACTGATAAAGGAAACCAAATAAGATCTAAGTAAGTGGAGACACATATTTATGGACTGGAAAACTCAACATAATATATATGTCAATTCTTCTCAAATTTATTTATAAGTTTAACACAAATCCTAGTAAAATCCTAGCAAGATTCTTTATAGACATAGACAAGATCACTCTAAAACTTATAGGGAAAAGCAAAGGAACATTCAAGGATAGCAAAAATTTTTAGAAAATGAATAATGTGGAAGGAATCACTATGTCTGATGTCAAGACATATTATATAGCTACAGACTGTGGTTCTGACTACGAGACAGATACATAGATCAATAGAATGAAACAGGAACAGCAGAAATAGACCCACAAAAATATAGCCAAGTAATATTTGAGAAAGCGTGGAAAGCAACCCAAGAGAGGAAAAACAGTCTCTTCAATAAATGGCGTTGGAACAACTGGATATCCATAGACAAAAACATGAACCTTAACCTAAACCTTATAACTAGCACAAAAATTAACTCAAAAGAGATCACAGATTTAAAAATCTAAATGTAAAACTTAAATATAAAAAATTTAAATATAAAATCTTTAAAAGAAAAGAGAAGAAAATATCCAGGAGATAGGATTTAATGAAATTCTTAGACTTGATACCAAAAGTAAGATCCATTAAAAATTACATTAGACTTCACCAAAATTTGAAACTTCTGCTTTGTGAAAGACTCTACTGAGAGAATGAAAAGGCAAGCTACAAAATGGGAGAAAATATTTGCAAATCACTTATCTGAAAAAGCAGAATACAAAAAAAAAAAACTCTCAAAACTCAACAGCAAAAAAACACTCCAATTAGAAAATTGGTCAAGGTATAAGGAAAATTTTCTCAAAGTGGATAGAGAAATGTCACATAAACACATGAAAATAGATTCAACATCATTATCCGTTGTTGTTGTTGTTGTTGTTCAGTTGCTAAGTTGTGTCCAACCATTTGCAATCCCATGGACTACAGCACATCAGGCTTCCCTGTCCTTCACTATCTCCCAGAGTTTGCTCTAATTCATGTCCAATGAGTTGATGATGCTATCTAACCATCTCATCCGCTGCTGCCACCTTCTTTTTCCTTCAGTCTTTCCCAGGATCAGGGTCTGTTCTAATGAGTTGGCTCTTTGCATCAGGTGGCCAAAATATTGGAGCTTCAGCTTCGGCATCAATCCTTCTAATGAATATTCATAGTTGATTCCCTTTAGGATTGACTGGTTTGATCTCCTTGCTGTCCAAGGGACTCTTGAAGGTCTTCTCCAGCACCACAATTCAAAAACATCAGTTCCTCGGCACTCAGCCTTCTTTATGTTCCAACTCTCACATCCATACATGACTACTGGAAAAACCACAGCTTTGACTATATGGATCTTTGTTGGCAATACGATGTCTCTGCTTTTTAATATGCCGTCTAGGTTTATCGTAACTTACCTTCCAAGCAGCAAGCGTCTTTCAATCTCATGGCTGCACTTACTGTCAGAAGTGATCTTTGGAGCCCAAGGAAATGAAATCTGTCATTGCCTTCACTTTTTCTCTTTCTATTTGCCATGAAGTGATGGGACCCGATGCCATGATTGTCGTTTTTTAAATGTTGAGTTTCAAGCCAGCTTTTTCACTCTCCTCTTTCACCCTCATCAAGAGGTTCTTTAGTTCCTCTTCACTTTCTGCCATTAGAATTGTATCATCTGCATATCTGAGGTTGTTGATATTTCTGCCAGCAATCTTGATTCCAGCTTGTCATTCATCCAGTCCAACATTTCACATGATGTGCTCTGCACAGAAGTTAAATAAACAGGGTGACAATATACAGCCTTGTCGTACTCCTTTCCCAATTTTGAACCAGTTGTTCCATATTAGGTTCTGATTGTTGCTTCTTGACCCTCAGACAGGTTTCTCAGGAGACAGGTAAGGTGGTCTGGTATTCCCATCACTATAAGAATGTTCCAGTTTGATTCACACAGTCAAAGGCTTTATAGCATACTCAATGAAACAGAAGTAGATGTTTTTCTGGAATTCCCTTGCTTCCTCTATGCTCC